AAGAAGTGGGCAGTGACTCACGAAAGCTCCTGTCCTGCCACAAATTGTGTTAGTCTTTAAGGTGCTGCTGGACTCTTGCTCTTTTCTACTGCTACCAGGGGCGCCAAACAGGACCACCACCCCAAAAAAGTCTGCATCATGCATCATGATCTCCGGCGGGCAGTCTGCTACACACAGACTAAGAGGGCTACAGTTCTTGAGCTTTCTCATGAAAGGATGTTGTAAGGTTTCCAACTCTGGGTTGCGAAATTCCTGGAAATTTAGGGGTGGGGTCTGGGGACGGCAGGTTTTGGACAGAGGGGGGACTCCTGCAGGGTATACTGCCATAGAGTCCAGGGCAGCCATTTTCTCCAGGGGAACTAATTAGGGTTGCCAGCTCTGGGTTCGGGGAAAACCCGGAGATTTTGGTGGGTGGAGCCTGGGGACAGTGGGGATTGGAGAGGGGAGGGACCTCAGCAGGGTCTAACGCCATACAGTCCACCCTCCAAAGCAGCCCTTTTCTCCAGGGAAACCTATCTCAATTGTCTGAAGTAGAGTTGCCAGTCTTCAGGTGGGGCCTGGGGATCTCCCGCTTTTACAACTGGTCTCCAGCTGACAGAGATCAGCTCCCCTGGAGAAAATGGCTGCTTTGAAGGGCGGACTCTATGGCATTGGACCCTGCTAAGGCCCCTCCCCTCCTCAGACCACGCCCTCTCCTGGATCCACCCCTAAAGTCTCCAGGTATTTTCCAACCCAGACCTGCCAACCCTAGTCTGGAGATCAGTTGTAATAGCAGGGGTCTCCAGGCCCCACCTGAAGGCTGGCAACCCTAGAACTGATCTCTGTCATGTGGAGATCAGCTGTGATTCTGAGAGATCTCCAGACCCACCTGGAGGCTGGCAGTCCTATGTGGGGAGAGCTGTGAGCTCGCTGATATCTTACTGGTGATCGGAATCATAGTATCAATGGTAATGATTGAGCATGGTTAATGTATTTTTGGCTAAAGAAGTAAACAGAGCACCATTAACACGAATGGCTCTTCGCGGGGAACAAGAAGTCCCCATCCCGTAAGGCTTCCTGAAACAGGCACCAAAAGGTATGGCTGATTCATTGCACAAGGGACCAGAGCAGCTGTCTTGAATGTCACACTGGCCGAGGGCATCATCTGGAAGACAGGTACATGCAGGGGTAATTTCCTGAAGGAGCACACAGGAGCGGAGCTCCGGGAGTAAAGAGCACATGCAACAAGCCCCACCCCCTGCTCCCAGCAGCCCTCAGTCAGAGCAAGAAGCAGCCAGGTAAGTTGCAGAGCACCCCACCGGGTCCCTCGGTCCAAAACAGTCCAGTGGCACCTTTAAGACTAAGTTTTATTCAGGTACAAGCTCTCCCTCCTCTGCGAGGACAGATCTACACGTTTCCCCCCCCCCAATAGCTAGCAATTCAAAACAGTCCAGTGGAGCCTGAGCGGTGGGTGTTGCCTTCTGACACACTTCTGGTGATGCCAGGGGGTGTGGCATATGCAAATAAGTTATGCTAATGAGCTATGCTAATGAGCTCCTGCACCTCTTTTTCTACAAAATGACCCCTGGGTATACAGTTTGCACTTGTTTTGACTGCTGCTTTCTCTTGAGCCTGCCCTAGGCTACAGAACGCCTCTATAGCCCTCCTTGGTCCCAGCAGCAGCAGCATGAGAGGAGGGCATTGGGAGTGATAAAAGGGATTCAGCTGGCACTGAAGAAGGTTATGGAGGTGACGGATGCTTTGGTGGCCCTTCGATCTGCAAACGACTGTAGCGAAATATCATCAGCATCATTTTATGCATCACTTCATTTAGATATCAGAGGTTAGGAATAACCATTGGCCCTGCCCTGGATTGTGCAAGCTAGCCTGATCTTGTCAGATCTTGGGAAATAAGCAGGGTTGGCCTTGGTTTAGTGCTTGAACGGGAGACCACCAAGGAAGTCCAGGGTTGCTACAGGAGGGCAGGCAATGGCAAACCACCTCTGTTCATCTCCTGACTTGAAAATCCTATAGGGCCACCATAAACCAACTGAGACTCAACGGCAATTTCCATCACCGTTGATATAACCACTTGAAGAGAAGAGAAGAAGAAGAGATTGGATATACATCCTGCCCTTCACTCGGAGTCTCAGAGCAGCTTACAAACTCCTTTCCCTTCCCCTCCCCACAACAGGCACCCTGTGAGGTAGGCGGGGCTGAGAGAGCTCTTTCAAGGACTGTCCTTGAGAGAACAGCTCTGACAGGACTATGGCTTGCCCAAGGTGATCCAGCAGCTGCAGGTGGAGGAGTGGGGAATCAAACCCAGTTCTCCCAGATTAGAGTTCACATACTTAAGCACTACACCAGACTTTGCATGCTTAGTCGGAAGAAAGAGACTGACACAGGTAAATGGTATAAACTAAGGGCAGCGTTATTGAACTATTAATTCAACAAGAACAACAAGAAGAAGAGATTGGATTTATACCCCACCCTTCACTACCCGAAGTAGTCTCAGAGAAGCTTACAAACTCCTTCCCCTTCCCCTCCCCCCCACAACAGACACCCTGTGAGGTAGGTAGGGCTGTGAGAGGTCTTGACAGAAACGGCTCTTTTTTGAAGAACATCTGTGCCAGAACTATGGCTTTCCCAAGATCACACCGGCAGCTGCAAGTCGAGGAGTGGGGAATCATTCAAACCTGGTTCTCCCAGATCAGAGTCTGTGCACTTAACCACTACACCAAACTGGCTCTCTATAACTGGCAAGGGCTGTGACACAGACCCGGCAAAGGGATCCCCTGATCCTTTTCCCAACCTTAAACGGGGTGAACCACCGAGCCCCTGGCGCAAGCCAACCATAACACGGCCTTTGCCAGGCGGCAGACAGGCTAACACCCCACCGTGAGCCAACCACTGATTGCAAACGAACGGCCCCAATGAGGGGGGAGCAATGCACTAATAAACACCAAGCTCCTCCCATCACCCCATACTCATATGGGAATCTCCCCGAACAAGTCTCCCTCCTTCCAAGCATGCAAAGTAGGCCCTCCATCCTTATGCGGCTCGTTGTACATTTCTAAAGGGCACTGCCTGACTTCTGTTGGAATAACAAAAGTAAATAGATGTTTCCCTGATCCCCAAAACTGCCCTTGTGTCCTTAGAACCATACCAACACCCAGTTTCTACATGCCCACTGAGTATGGTTGCCAACCGTCAGGAGACCTTCCAGAACTACAAGAGATCTTTAGACCACAAAGACCAGTACCCCTAGAGAAATTGGGTGTTTTGGAGGGTGGACGCTATGGTAACCCAACCCTGTTGAGGTCTCTTCTCTCCCTAAACCCCACCCTCCCCAGGCTCAACCCCCAAATTCCCAGGAATTTCCTCACCCATGGTCGGTAACCCAATTGCTGAGGTCCCCAAGGCCCAGCTGCACAAGATCTTGGATGGTTGAAGTCAAGGTTTCAGTTCCCTCCATAGCAGCCTCCTACTCCTCCACAAGAACAGCAAAATTGTAGCCTAAATTATGCAAAATGGTTGAACAAGTGCCGAATACAAACTGCAGAATAAGAGTAATAGTGTAAAGGTATTCCATTGGCAGAACCAAAACAGATAATTGAATTCAGCCTTCCTGGGGGCAGAATTTGGATTGTCGTCATTGCGCAGAATGTTAATTGTTACTAGCTCAGAGAAGTGCATCACAATGCTATTATGGAAACCTACTGGGGGCTGGGGGCTGGATTTGTCACGCTGTATGCAGTTCTGGTTGCCCCCATCTCAGAGCTGAGAAAGAACAACAGAACTGATGGGGCTGCTGGTGCTTCTCCCCCAGAGCCAGTTTGGTGTACTGGTTAGGAGAGCAGACTCTAATCTGGGAGAACCAGGTTTGATTCCCCACTTCTCCACATGCAGATGCTGGTGTGACCTTGGGTGAGCCGTAGTTCTGATTAGAGTTGTTCTTGAAAAATAACAGTCTCTGTCAAGAGCTCTCTCAGCCCCACCTACCTCACAGGGTGTCTGTTGTGGGGAGGGGGAGGGAAAGGGATTGTAAGCCACTCTGAGACGCCTTCGGGTAGTGAAGGGCAGGGGTATAAACCCAATCTCTTCTTTCTTCAGGAGGAAAGCTCTGATTTGAAGCACTGATTATATGGAGTGATACTGGTTCACCCCTGGAAGGGGGGCAATGACCTGAATGGGCCAGGCCAGCCCACTCTCATCAGATCTTGGAAGCTATGCAAGGTCAGCCTGGGCTAGTACTAGGGCTGCCAACCTCCAGGTGGGGCTTGGAGATCTCCCGCTTTTGCAACTCATCTCCAGCTGAGAGAGATCAGCTCCCCTGGAGAAAATGGCTGCTTTGAAGGGTGGGCTCTATGGCACTGTACCATGCTGAGGCCCCTCCCCTCCTCAAACCCCACCTGGCTCCACCCCCAAAGTTTCCAGGTATTTTCCAACCCAGACCTGGCAACCCTAGTTAGTGCTTGTATGGGAGACCACAAAGGAAGTGCTTGTATGGGAGACCACCAAAGAAGATGGGGGTTGCTACACAGAGGCAGGCAATGGCAAATCTCCTCTGTTCGTCTCTTGTCTTGAAAACCCTACGGGGTTGCCGTAAGTTGGCTGTGACTTGGCAGCACTTTCTACCCCAAACACTTTGGGTTGTGGCTGTGACTTGGCAGCACTTTCCACCCCAAACACTGGGTTGTTGCTGAGTACAGATGAAGGGCTGCAAGTATATCTGGAAAAGGCAAGAGCAAGTATACTTCTTCTTTATCATTTTCTGCTGTTTCAAAAAGTTTATTAACAAACTCCTGTTTTCCAATATTTGGCATATAAGATTCTTGCAGCTGTCGTCATATAAACAGTCAAATACCTATTCTATTTTTCATAATCCTTTGGAAATATATTCAACAGCAAGACCTCTGGAGTAAATGGAATCCTTGCTCTTAGTATCTTCTCCATCAAACTATGGACCCATTTCCAAAACTTTTTAGTAACATCGCTATGCGATGATGCGATGCGATGATTTAGATGGTTTTAAAGAGGGACTCAACTAATCCATTCTCTTCTGGTGGATCTTCGCTGTAATCATTAAATAGAATCCCCATGTTCAGAGGCAGCGTGCTGGGGAGGGCGATAGTAAGGGAAGTACCGTTTCCTTTCCTTTCTACTGAAACCATCTGGTTGGCCGTTTCATCCTTGCAAGAAACAGAGGCTAGAAGAACCCTGGAACAAGAAACAGAGGCTAGAGGAATCATAGTGCCCACTAACCCCTTTCTCGGTGCCCACCAAGTGTTTTTAGATAGTGGGTGGGGCCAAGTGGGGCTCTTGCCCTGGAGGCCTTCTGATTGGTCACTGAAGATCTGGGGACACCTCCCCCCGGAATTACAGCTCATCTCCAGACTACAAAGATCAGTTCCCCTGGAGGAAATGGCTGCTTTGGAGGGTGGACTGTATGCCATTGTACCCCACTGAGGTCCCTGTCCTCCCAGGGTCCATCCGCAAATCTCCCATCCTGGACCTGCCAACCCTACCCCCCAACCCCCACCAGTGGACAGGGGTGACCTGGCAACCCCAGTGCAGGTATTTCGGTATTTGTTTTGCCCCCTCTTCTTTTTTAAAACTGCCGTCTCCTCCCCGCTCGAAATTCCTCCTCCCGACTGCTGCTTTGCCAATTGCTTACAGTGCATATGAAATGGAAATTTCAGGATCCCCAAATTGGCCAGAATGTGTGAAATGTATAACGTAGCAGCAGATGGCACCGCACGGCGGGTCTGAAATATCTATGCAATACCGTTTTAAGAGAGGTATTAACCAATCACGCAGCATATGGAAAAGACTTGCTGTGCAGGATTAGGAGAGGGGTGGGGGACCGAAGCTCCCCAGGCACTTGTTTATGGGTGTGTGTCCCCCCCCCCCAAGCTCTCTCTCTGTCTCAACAAGATTCTTGGTTTTAAGGTCTGTTCTTTGTCTTACAATATTCTAAAACTATTTACTTCTTCCTTGGGTTCACACTTGTCACTTCCATATTTCAGATATCCTGTTTTATGCTGTTGGGGAAAACGTCAATGATGAGAGCAGCGGTAGTTAGGAGTTTGCAATGTTTGAAGAAATCTTAGAGGGTTCCCCCCCCCCCTGTTCTGGAATGCCAACTTTTTTGTTTAATAGGCCTTTTGGTGTAGTGTAATCTGGGAGAACCGGGTTTGATTCCCCACTCCTCCACGTGCACCTGGCTGGATGAACTTGGGCAAGCCATAGTTCTGATAAGAGCTGTTCTTGAAAAAGAGCAGTTTCTGTCAAGAGCTCTCTCAGCCCCACCTACATCACAGGGTGTCTGTTGTGGGGAGGGAAAGGGAAAGGAGTTTGTAAGCCGCTCTGAGACACCTTTGGGTAGTGAAGGGCGGGGTACAAATCCAATCTCTTCTTCATTTCTGGTGCTTGAACAGCAATGTGACGCAGAAAGAGGAAATCATGGGGAGCAAGTGATGGGGTTGTGTCAACTCCATGTCCTACATAATGGACTAAGGCACAGAACCAGTAAAAGAAGTTGCCAGCCCAAGTGACCTCACCTGTCTTTAGACCAGGACCACCAACTGGCAAGTATAAAAGAAACTGGCTTGTTCTGCTCCCGTGTGTGTCATACCGATTTAGGTCGGTAGCCCTGCTGGTCTGAAGCAGCAGAACAAAGTCTGAGTCCAGTGGCACCTTTTAAGACCCGCAAAGTTTTATTCAAGGTATAAGCTTCCGTGTGCATCTGTATTTGTATATGAAGAAGTGAGCATGCACACAAAAGCTTATACCTTGAATAAAACTTTGCGGGTCTTAAAGGTGCCCCTGGACTCAGACTTTGCTCTATCATTGGGCCCAGGGCTCATTTCGTAGAAAAAGAGGTGCAGGAGCTCATTAGCATAACTTATTAGCATAACTAATTTGCATATGCCACACCCTCTGACCTCACAGGAAGTGTGTCAGAAGGCAACACCCTCTGCTCAGGCTCCACTGGACTGGTTTGGATTGCTAGCTATTGGGGGGGGGGGGCGGGCAGATCTGTCCTCACGGG